AAACGAGGGCAAAAACATCAACTATACTAAATCACCTGATATGGAAAAGGAAAAAAAAAAAAAGAAAGACAATTGTTTCCAATCTATGGACCTAAATTTTAATGCTGGTATAGCCCATTTTTTTTAACATGCCAAAACAGTTTGTTTCTCCTAATATATATATGTGTGTGTATATATATATATATATATATATACACACACACACACACACACATATGTGTGTGTGTCTGTGTGTGTGTAAGTATGTAAATGTATATATGTGTGTAAGTATATGTATGTGTATATATAAGTGTGTGTGTATATATGTATATATATGGCCCAGAAAATATGATTCAGAAAAACAGAGATTTAGAAAATGTTGCTTTTTTTCAAAACACACTAAACATCATAATATTAATAATAATGATGATGATAGCTAGCATTTATATACCACTTTGAGCTTTGCAAAGCATTTCACAAGTTATCAGTTCAGGGTATCTTCTATAAAACAAGGAACCCTGGCATGAATAATTCAACACCACAGATAATCCACTCACCTGCTTTGAAGTCAACCCCTGAGGCAGAACTCACAGCTGCCAAGTGACCCTGGGATCCTGCTCAAATGACCGGAGAGAATGGTCCAGTTCTAGGAACATGTATTGCTGTTCCATTCATAAAAATAATTAACAGTTGACTGAAGTCCACAGACTTTTTCTTTACAAACACGAATTAAACAAAGTCCTATTGTTTTCTCCTCCTCTCTCTCCAAGGAAGGAAGGAAAGAAGGAAGGGAGAGAAGGAAGAAGTAAGGAAAAAATTTTGAGGCATCCATCTGCTCTGTACACTCAAAAGCAAACTGAATGGACATAATCCCTGCTTCTAAGACAAATGACAGCTGGGGCTCCAAGGTGTGTAGGACATATAGATACATTAAGTACAGAATCTCTTTGCATTAGGGTCAAGCAATGCAGCTGGTGGGTATTTGGGGGAGTGATAAATGAGGGCCGAATCATGGGAGCTTTAGGTTTGGGCCAAGAATGATCAGTAGGAAACATTGCTTCCAGTTTCATCATTTGTAAAATGATGGGGCCAGACAGGGAGACCACTAAGGTCTCTTCCTGTTCTAAATCTATGATCGCATGATAACTAATTAGGAAACTCTTCATGGAGAAAGTGGGATATCAAGAGGTGGGAGAATTATATGAAAGAGCAAAAAGTTGGAGTTAGATTTTATTGCACAGTTCTCATTTTCTCTTTTCAGGCAGTTATGCTATGCTATAGTCCTGCCTCTGGCTTCCTAGCTTGGGTAAGCAACCCTAGGGAAATGGACAGATTGAGAGAAAATATTCATTGAATACCTTTACTCAAACTCTAATAAGTATTAGCCAGTTCATTATGATTTTATAAGGGGCAATGATTGTTAGTAATCATATATAGTAACATATTCATCTAGTAATACATATCTAGTCAATCACCTAATAATAGGTATAAGAATAAGTAATGTATTAATCCATATTTTCTATAAATCACATAGGAATATAGATTCTAATAGAAGGTCCCGATATAATAGGCCTCAAACATTAATGTAATGTTCATTACTTGGTTACCAGCTAGAACTTACTTGCACAATCACAAGAATGCTGACACAGATATCTCCATGCTGTTTTGCTCCAATTCCATGACCAAACCAAGTGTAGGTGGTAGCATGGTAAGGAAAGTACCCCCTCCCCAATATGTTCTTGGAGTATATGTATAGCTTGCACCATCTCCTCCTGCCTAACCTAAGGAAGAGCCCATCCATCTTGTGACCACCTAGTCAGGGGAGATATCCTTTGCTCCACCCAACTCGTGACCCTGCTGACACATCATTTTTGCTTATTATAGCTTATGCATCATGTCAACCAATGAGATTCTGTATTTTACCATGCTTCTTTTGCATAGTTGCATTTTTGCATCTTATAACCTGAGGAAGATCTGAGTTCTGCTTCATTAGAGGAGAAGAGAGGGAAAGAGACAGAGAGAAAGAAACAGAGAGAGAGAGAGGTGTCAATTATCTCAGACTTTACAGAGAAGAAACCCACCTGCATTGGTAAATAGTTTCCCCGTATACAGAAAAATCACAGGTACAGTCCTACCCCTACCCCCATTCTTACTAACTTGCAATACAGTAAAAAGAGCATCAGATTTGGAATCAGAAGACTTGCATTTCAGATCTGACTATATGGGAAACCTTGGACAAGTCATTTGACACCTCCAGGCTCAGGCCCAGAAAGAGTTTCTCTCACCTATAAAATGAAGGGGTTGGACTCCATAATTTCTCAGGTATTTCTCAAGTCACTTCTTTCTCTAAACTTATGCTCCTCGGCTCAGTTTAAACAGCCATGATTCCAAGTATCAGAAAACCACCAATTTGAAGGAATATGAATATAAGTCATTTCAATCATATAGCAGGTATTTATTAAATGGTAACTGTTTACAAGGTATTGTGCTATTGTACTGGGCTACAATGAAAAAAAATTAAACAGTCTCATACTATATACATACATACACACACACACACACACATATATATATATCACATATTATACAAAATACATTATATTTTATCTTATCTTATCCCTCCCTCCCCCCCTTCTCACAAGCCTGAATTGTTTTTCAGCTGTTGTTTCAGTCATGTCCAATTCTTTGACTCTATTTGGGATTTTCTTTTCTTTTTTTTTCTTTGACTCTATTTGGGATTTTCTTTTCTTTCTTTCTTTCTTTTTTTTCTTAAGGCAATTGGGGTTAAGTGACTTGCCCAGGGTCACACAGCTAATTAAGTGTCAAGTGTTTGGTCTGAGGTCAGGTCCTCCTGACTTCAGGGCTGGTGCTCCATTGAACCACCTAGTGGCCCCTCATTTGGGATTTTCTTGACAAAAATACTGGAGTGGTTTGCCATTTTCTTCTCCAGACCATCTTACAGACAGGGAAACTGAGGCAAACAGGGTTAAGTGACTTGCTCAGGGTCGCATAGCTAGTAAGTGCCTGAGGCTGGATTTGAACTCATGTCTTTATTGACTCAAGGCCCAGCACTCTATCCACTGTGCCACCTAGCTGCCCAAGACTTCTCTTGCCCCTTCCATTTATGGCAGATCTTTGTTTCTGTTGGTCTCTTCTACATTCTCTTTGCTTCCTAGAAAAAATTAAGATTAAGTTGCACACAGCACCACATAAATGATTATGGTTTCTCAATTACAAAAATATGAACTGATGCAAAAACTATAATAGGCAGCTGGGTGGTAGTACAGATAGGGGCTTTGGCTTGAGGTCAGGAAGATCTGAATTTAAATCATGTCTCAGACACAAATCAGTGCTTATAACACAGTGCCTGCAACATGGCAAGCACTTAACAAATGCTAGGTGACTAACTATCTGTGTAACCCTGTGCAATTCACTTAATCTCTCTCAGCCCCAGTTTTCTCTCCTGTAAAAGGGAAGTAAATATAGCACCTACTTTACAGGATTGTTGGAAGAAGTAAATGAGATAATATGTGAAGAACTTAAACCTTAAAACACTATATAAATATTAGTTTTTATCATCAGTATCATTATCACCAACGTAGACGACGATGAAGAAGAAGAAGAAGAGAAGGAGGAAGAAACAGTTCTGTACATAGTCAATACATAAGAAAAAGAATTCTTGCATCATCCCTAAAAGGAAAGTAACAGATTTTTTTTTAATTCTGCTTTCAGATCAAATTGCTTTCTATTAGAAATTGCTCTAGATGAGTTAATAGATGCTTTAAAAGAGATGAATATTTATATTTCCTTTTTTGCTTTTCATTAAAATGAAAAGAGGGGGGAAAATTCTACTGTTCAAGATTAACCATCTCAAGTCATTTCATACCTCTCAGTCTTGGTTTCCTTCCATTTCTAACATTGTAGGAGCACGCTTCTCCCAAGATCTTTATCTAGGATAGGTTAGTCTGGAGAAGAAGTTGTTTCTCCCCCAAGTGCTGGATTTGGAGTCAGAAGACTTGGGTTCATTAGCCATGACTGGCTCTACCAATTACCACCTGTGTGACCATGTCAAAGCCACCCTCTAGACCTGGAGGTCTCATTTGTCGACATAAAGGGGTTACAGTAGTAAGCCTCCAAGACCCCCTCTCAGTTCTATACCTGTCATTCATGGTCTAGTTAAAGAGGTAAGAACATTAGCTATAAAGGGAGAGATGAGTATAATCAGCCATGGGATGCACCAAAGCCACATGACTAAAAGAAACCAAAGTCATAAATATAAGTTATTGATCCTTGACAAGTCACATGGCCCCTGAGGTCATGATTCATACATCTTAGTTTCCACTGCCAGGGCAAATACAATACTTCTTTTTTTCTTTTAATTCATCCAGACCTATCATTTCAAGGGTATGAAGAGCTCCTAAGCTCAGGAACCCTTTCAACTAATGCAAGTCAGCAATTCATCTGCAAATTATAGTCTTAGGGTTGTGTGGCAATGCTGAGTGTTTAAAGGATGTTTCCAGGGTCATGTGGCTAGTGGACACCAGAGGCAGGGCTTAAACACAGGTCTTACTGACTTGAAGCGCAGCTCTTTATTCTAAACACTGTCCAAGAAAAGACTAAATAAATATACTTAATTCAAAAGGAATAAATCAATTTGTATTCTAAGATGTCACATACAGAAAAGACTCATAATAGATGAGAAACTGTGGAAGGACTGTGATCTGTCCTGGTAGAAGGCCTGCAATAATGAGACTGCAGATCATTCATTAGAATGCATGATATGATCTATAACTCTTTGGTCAAAAGGAATCTACCTTATTTGAGAACCACAAAATCCCCCCACCCCCCGAATTCAAATAAGAAAGAAGGAGCTATGTCCTGAACTGTAACTTGACCACCACCATCATCAGTATCATCATTAGAATGGTCACCCCACACTGTCTCATTTTGCATGCTTCTATATGATCTTCTTGAAGGCACTGACTGGTGTCTTATGAGTTGGCTCAGGAAATGTTGCTTACTTCACCACAATATTTCCCAAGGTGCGGGCCTTCAGTTTTTGCATACTGTCATCCAAAATCATAACTGTAAAGTCAAATTAAAAAAAAAAAACAAATAAATTTTGCATAAAAGTGACATACTGCCATTCAAGTTAAATGACTATTGAAAATTTCCAGAAAAATAACTAAAAACAGAACTAGAGCATACCTTCATAATTCTCCTGAATCAAATAACAAAAAAGTTCTATAGAATATGTTTTAATTTCTAAGAGACATTTTCTCTAAGACAGACATTTCCTCATAAGAGATATTTCCTCTAAGAATAGAAATATACAGTAGTAATAGGCTGAAAACCAATGCACTCCTGATTTTAAAAAAAAAAATAAAAACCAAAACAGAACACAGATGCAGAGCCTATGGAGGACCACTATTTTTCTGCCAGACTCCCTAAAATAAGGTGTGATGGTTGGCACTTGCTGTTAATGCCATTGTAAATATTTTATATCCCTTTAAAGATAAGCTGAATCTGAAAAAAAAGAAGAATGCTAGATTCACCGAGACTCAAAGGCAATTACAACATCAACATCAACATCATCATCATCATCATCATCATCATCATCATCATCATCATCATCA